TCTTTAGTAGCTTGGACCTCCCCATAGGCTCTCCATTTGTTGACTGTCGCGTTCTTTCGGGAGGTTGATGCTTGCGTCTGTGATCCACTTTCCCAGCAGCATTGTCATGCCGCTACCTGTTGCTCCTACAATGGTCGGCCTCGCATTCAAGACGAGGTGGATTTTATCTCCTCTCAAACTTTTCGAATGCATCTCCATCTTTCGTTGTTTGTTTTTGGTTATCTTTCTGGTGATAGGGATTGTGTTCGGGTTGTCTGGATATTTTTTGGAGCTTGTTTCAGGGCTGTTGATTGTTGTGTGAGGTAGTGAGCAACCTCCCAATTGAGCTCCCCTTTTGTAGGCTTCATTTTCCTTTGGCATGTGAGTGATCAGACTCCTTTGATCAATGAATGTGCAACGCATTAATTGCCACTTCCACTCTTCCCCTCTTATCCGCCTCTTTGCCGGGCTACCTCTTAATTGCCAATTGTGGTAGAAGCTAGGCAAAATACACTTTTATAGTCAAAACTTTCGCACTTGTGCCAATAATAGCCAAATTTGAAGAAATACCACTTATAGCCATAATTTTGAAACTTTTGTGACAAATATAGTCATTTCCATTACAAACCTTAACGGTGTTAGAGAATCCGTCAGTTAGTTTAACGTTAGGCTGACTAGGACACTAAATCATCGCACACGTCAGCGACAAATCAGCCACATTTGCCACGTAGGTGACACGTCATATTTTTAATTATTAAAACAAATCCACCTCATATACTTGACCTGCTGCTTTCCCCAATTTGCTTCTTCTCCCCAAATTCAATTTTAGGCTTTTTCCTGCCCGCCGCCGATTGAAGCTTCCACCAAATTCCTTGCGTCGCTTTCAAGTCCCTGGAGACCGCCCGCCGACGATTGGGGAGATCTCTGGGATATGTTGGTTTCACACACAGCGGCTCCTGCTGCCGGATTTTTCGGAACAGTGTGATTTGGCTCTGCTGGTCAATCGGCGACCCTAGTGTTGAATCGTGGCCTGCTTCCTCATTATTTCGATCTACTTCATCCTCTCCTCTTCGCGATCACCATCTTCGTCACTTTGGTTCTTTGCATGTTTCCCGATCGCAGAGCTACTATTCCATGGACTAGGCCTTCGCCTTTCGCCCTGCCGCTGCTCGTCGATTCTCTGCTACCAAGAGAAAAAGCGAGCGGAAGTGTGGTAAGTTCCGACGAGTGTGTTTTTGTGGGAGAGAGGGGTTGAGATTGGGAAATAAACGAGAAGGGCAGAAGCGGATAACATGATTTTTAGGGGGGGGGGACGATTTAAGCGAGAAGGACGTTTGATGGTGAGAGACAGAGAGCGGGATAGACTCTGGTTCAGGGGTTTCAGGAAAACGGATTCAATCTCTGTCGGATGGGTAAAATTTTCGGATAGGAGTTTTAGAATTTAGAGGCAAACTGATTCAATCTCCGGATTAACAGATCTAGGGTGTGGTCGTCGGCGGCGAGTTGGTGGTGGCTGGGTTTTAATTTTTTGCTGTGTTGGGTGGTTTGGCGGTGGTGACTGTAAGTGGGCACCGGGTCGTGCCGCCCACGGGCTAGCACGACACGGCACGGTTAGAGCACGGCACGAGCACAGGCACGAAATAAATGGGCCAGCCTAGCACGAGCACGAATAATTTATGGGCCGTGTCGGGCCTAAACGTCATGGGCACGGCACGGTATATAAGTGGGCCGTGTCGGGCCTAATATTTTTGAGACTTTATTGAGTATAAGAACGGACATGGCACAAATAATATTTATTTGATAGAAAATAAATATAAAAAGAATTATAGGTTCAAATATTACAAAACACAAGTAGAAAAATAATTATTTGTTGTTGTTAGAAGTGTCATAAAGATATATACGTAATTACTAACATAAGTAAAAATGGACAAACAATTAAACAAATCCAAATCACACTCGCTATACTTCCAATTTTCTTTTCCCCCTGATTTGTTACTTTTCTCAAACATTATCGGTTAATACTATCTTCCTCCATCCAATTTTCACCTTCTTTTTCATTCTCTCTTTTGTTTTCGTCCTTTTCATTAAACACGAATTCGAGCATGGCAAGAGCACGAATAGGCACGACACGATTCGAACCGTGCCCGGGCTTGGGCTGGGCCTAGCAAAGTTAACAAATGGGCTTGCATAGCACGGCACAAAAACTAACGGGCCGTGCCAAACACGGCACAAAATAAATGGGTCTGAAGCATGCCCGTGCCGTGCCGTCCCAAGCACGGCCCAGCGCCCATGTACAATGGTGACAGGTGAGGACCGAGATTAATGTTTTTATTTTTTATAATTTTTAATTTAATTAAAATTAAAGGATAAAGTGATTTTCCACGTGGCATTATTTCCGAAGAAAATATGCCACGTCAACCGTTGTTGTTAGTCCACTCTGCCTGTTAGATGACACCGTTAAAGTATTGGACGAAATTGGCTATATCTGGTATTTCTCCAAAAGTGGCTATTATTGTCACAAACGCGAAAGTTATGGCTTTGAAAGTGTATTTTGCCAAGAAGCTATCAACCGCACTATCCCTCCTTCTGGTATTCTCCTTTCCTTTGTGTACTTTTCGTGTAGATTGTGGCCTGTAGATTTGGACAGTGCAATTACTCCCTCCATTTGCCTTCTCTGTAGGGATGGCAATGGGTCGGGTCGGGGACGGATAGTGCATATCCATTACCCTACCCAAAGTAGTTCGGGTTTTACCCATACCCATACCCACATGTGAAACGGGTAGAAAATTAAAACCATGCCCATACCCGTTCGGGTTTCGGGTATCCATGGTTATCCATGGATAATAATTTCTCTTCATAAATCCAACCAATATGTTAACATTCACACGTATTCTCACATTACGTAAGAGGAAAAGTACGACAATAGTTCACTAGAATGAAGAAAATTAACTAAAACAACACAATTTCATGAAAATATTATATTTATATGCTAAATATAAAATATGTCAGAGAAAAATAATAATTATTTCTAGAGAAAATATACATGCATGCGTATAATCGGGCGGGTTCGGGTTGGATAGTTAGAAACCCATGCCCACCCATTACCCGCAATATTCGGGTTCGGGTTTTACCCGTACCTACTAAATGTCCTTCAAGTTCGGGTTTTACCCTACCCGATTAGGCCGGATTCGGGTGGATATCCACGGTTACGGATATTTTTGTCATCCCTACTTCTCTGGGTATCTGTACTTCAGGGTGTGGGTGGAGTAACTTCTAATGATTGCTGAGTAGCATCCCCCGTCTCTTTCTCAGGTGCTCTCTGGCAATTAATTCTTTATGGCACGCTGGGCGACTGGGGTTTTCCCAGTTGATCAACATTTATTCTTGCTTCCCCAACCTTCCAAACTTTAATGCCTCCTGTTTCTCTCTTGATGGTTTCCTTTCCCAGTTGACCCTTGATTGACATTTCTTCAGGTGGTTTGGACGACGGATTAATGGCTTCCCTGCGCTCTTCCTCTGTATTGCCATTTCCCCTATTGGTCATAGGACTGTTGTGGGGTAGCCCCTCTTCAATTCTGCGTATCTCCTCCTTAACTCCATTGTGATCTTCCGTGATTTTCTCATTCTTGTTGCAGGATCCAGAATTGGAAACATTGAAGGCTCCGCAGATGGCACTGTAGAAATCCTCGGGTGGAGGGCTTGGGAGAAGGTGGTTAGAGAGAGAGGGGTAGAGAGAGACATTTTCTTAGCTCCATGGTATTCTTAGTAGACATATTTTGGAGCTTTAGAGAACATATTAAATATGACAGAGAAGCACTGGCATATGCAGACAGTAGGGGTGGTAAACGGTCGGTAACCGGTTAAATCGGTTACCAACTTACCGATTTCCGGTATACCGGGAAGCATAGCAGTCCCACCGTTGGCCGACACCGGATTTACTTCGGTACACCGGTTACCGAATTGCTGCGGTACGGGTATGTATCCGGTATCTCGATTACCGAATGTTTGATGAAGGGACATTATGGAATTACTTCCCAACTAATGACGAATGGATGGTGGGGAGGGACTGGGGAGTGGGGACTGGCCCACTTTGCCTCAACAATGAAATTCCCTTCTGCTCGACTGTACTTTTGTATACTTTTATTGTATTGCTTCGGCTGCAAAAATGAAAAAACAGTTAATCAATTATACACAATACCACAAACCGACAAACTCCCTTCAATTCACTGCTTCCCTGCCCGGCTGCCTACTACGAGGCTATGAAAAGTGAAAAGTGGAAATATTACAATATATATCATATATGTCAATATCACAAACTCCCTTCGGCCTTCGCTGCTTCTCTGTTTGGCTACGCCTACGACTAACAAGGCTACACATTAATACATTATACACAATCACACAAACTCGGAAATACCTATGATTAATTAATTACGAAACAATTATGAAACTGAATGAATGAAACTCGGCTACACAAGTTACCTCTCAAAAGTCAAATCGACGGAGAGCTGTAGAAGACGAGCTGTTAGGCTTTACGGTCGAGCGATTAAACTCCGACGGGGTTCGACGAAAATAGAGCAACGACGAAGGGGCTTGAAGGAAATAGAGTCTGGCAGAGAGGATGGCTGGATGAGGGCTGCTGCCTGCTGGGTAGTGTCTCTTGCCCTTTGGAGTCGATGAACGGAGTAGGGATCGGCGGACGGCGGTGTGTGCAGGCAGCCAGGCAGGGGAAACTAAGAAAGAGCGATGCAAGCAAATAGAATAATAGGCAGGGAAAAGACAGTCTAATTACTTTGGTTGGGTGGCCGACGTTTGGTTAGAAATCCTAGTCGTTTACGGCTAAATGGCCATTTCCCATTCGGTGTCGGAATACCGAGCGACCGGCGGTATTTGATAGTTCCGATCACGGTACACCGCTAGCAACAATTCCTCCTCCGATTACCGTTTGCTTCGGTTAATGGTTTAACCGGTAATTGCATTAATCGGTACGGTTACCGGTTAAACCGTTAACCGCATTACCATTTAGCACCCCTAGCAGACAGGGTAGCTAAGCATCGGTTAAATACAAGAGCTCAAGCATACTCCATGGAGAAACATCACAACTGCATGTGTTTCATTCAAGCATGCCAGGTGATTTACCAAATTCAGAAATTGAGGCATCGACGAAAACATGGAACTGAAAATAGATCATTCAGGGCCAGTATCGTTGGAGATCCTATCCACCATAAACATCATCAGAGCTCCAACACGAGCTTCTAAGTCCCAGTCTATACTCCGCACAAGCTGCTTAACGTACAAAATACATCCAATGTCCTGGGAGATCTTTCACACTTTTTCCTCAAGCAACATTCAGTTATAGTCTAGCTGCAAATCTTTAGCTCTGGCTCCCTCAGTACTCCCTAGTACTTGAATAGTTGGCGATCTCATCCTACAAACAGAATTAAAGAGAGAAACAAAAGAAAAACTCAGGATCAATGAATGCCTTTTCTTTGCTTACTACTTACTAAATAAATCTGTTCAATTATTTATGACACAAATAAAAGCCTCTCAAGTCAAGAAAGTGATAGCAATATTCCATACCTCAAACGCAGATCTCAAGTGGTCAAGTTCCTTGTCAAGATCATTGATGGCTAGGTTATATGCCTGCATTGGTGAAGACTGGCTTGTGGTGTGAATCTACAAAGCAGCATCAAGCTGGTTAGAACCCTAGAACTCAGAGAACACCTCACATAAACATTAACCATCGTCCAACGAAACTTTGCCCTCTAACTCTCAACGGAAATGAAGGTGGGGGCTGGGACTGAGGGTTGAGAACTGAACTTTGCACCAAGAGAATTTTCATCTACAGTCAACCCATCTATTCTCTCCCACAAACAGCAATATGATAACAGAAGAGGATCAACTGGGAGGTGCATGCCCTTATTCTACTGAGATTATGTAAACAAAAGCTTTTGCAAAAGGGTCAGAAGCCAACCCATCCATTCTCTCCCACAAACAGCAATGATAACAGAGGATCAACTGGGAGGTGCATGCCCTTGTTATACTGAGATTATGTAAACAAAAGCTTTTGCAAAAGGGTCAGATGGTAAGGGGCTCATTTTTCTATCCCCGGGGCTAGATAGATTTATCACCTGCTGAACAGCAGAAGCAACATACATAAATCCCTCAAGCAGCATCAGAACCATTAACAGCCTATATTACATCTGAGCTGTGAACAGAAAATGGATTCAAAAATTAGACACACCCCTGTTCCCTCCTCTATCCATTAAGCCAAACTCTAAACCCAGGACGCATGTTTCCTCCTCTATCCATTAAGCCAAACCCTAAACCCACGAGCAGGAGAAATAAAAGGCACAATCTTTCCTCTAAATGGTTAACTACGCACTCACCCTGATAATGATTTTGTACTGCAGAGGGTGAGGGAGCTTGTAGCCAGCAAACAGAACATTCTCGTCCAAGTGAAGCTGCCTGCTCAACCAACCATAACGAGAAGGAAACCATTAGAGCTCAAGAAAACAAGGTAAAGAGAAGAGAGGAAAAGACAGAAGCTTTCAACAACTCCAGAGAAAATAGACAAGCTTACATGCGGACTATGTTGCCGATTGTGTGCTCCTCTCTCTCTATAATGAAGGAGGCGGCATTGATGATCTTGGTGTCCCTCTCGTATGAAACCCTAGAACAGCAAACGAAAAATTACAGTACGACTCAAGAGAAGTGGGGTTTCGGGAGAGAGAGAGTGGAGAAGGGATTTTGAAGAAATACATACTTCTTGGTGCCTTCGGGGACGACGAATCGCTCGTAACGATCGGGGGCATTCATGGCTTCTGCTTTGCGATCTTTTCCGCTTCCTCTCCCTCTCTTCTACTTTTCTACAGTCCGCCTCCACTCTCTAATTCCGGTCAGGGGCGGGCAACGTAACGTTGGGTTGGATGGGTTTTCGGTTTTCCGCTCAAGTCAACCCTTTCCTCCTTCCAAGAGAGGGCCAATACTATGGTGCCGCTATTAAAATTGCGGCACCGGTAACGCAACTTTTGATTGGTCCACATGTGCTGATGTGACATCGACTAGATTAATTAAAACTCAACCCAGCGACGGTGCCAATTAGAAGTGGCCCCACAAGCCTCTCGGTTCTGACAAACTAACGGAGAGAACCATTCTCCGTGTAGTGCATTTTCCTGTTTCTATTTTTTATTAATTCCGTCTTCCCGCCTTCGCCACAATCCACCGCCGCTCAACCTCCTCTGCTCTCCAAATTTGAGCGCACCGGGGACGGCAAAATACAACGGGGGTCTCAATTTTGATATCTCATGTCTCCGATCCCAACGAGCATGCAATCATCTGGATTACCTTCGTTTTGACAATGTTTTGATTTTTGCTCTGCCTCCAATTGATTCTGCGGAAAAAGAGGATGAATTGATGCTCAAATACCGGTCGTCAGCCATTGAAGTTCCTTGTAAGTTCTTCTTAGCCAGCGAAACTTCTCCGCCTCCAACCCCAAATTTGATCGTCGGAAACTATCACGGCCTCCAGCATCTACCTCCATATGATTCTGTTGTTATTCAATGCCATGAACAGGTTAAATAAGTTTGCAGGAACCGAGGGAAATGGAAGACCTGCATGTCTCCGCAATTTCTACACCCACAAAACAAAAGAGTAAGGCGAAATCGACAATCGCCGGAATCGCAGCCGGAGCAACCAACGGGCCATCCCCGCCAACTACTGACTCCTGTCGTCCCGGCCGCCCTACCTCTTTCCACCTTCCCCCGCGCAAGAAATTCTCCGTTCCACCTCCTGCTACCCGCTCCTCGTCCAGCTCAAAAACGAACTCCATCTCTGCTCCCTCACCGACACCGTCAACTCGCTCATCCGCTGTGTCCGACCCGACCTCCTCCCCACCGGACCCACACCCAAACCCGACAAGCTCTCTGCTCCAGAAGCCTATGACCCGGAACACATTTGCATGCCCATCCAGTCGGCCGAAGCACGGTCGTTGATCAGAGTAGGTCGATTAGTGCGACTTGCTTCAGGGTGCTTCTCTGTTCTTCGACACCCCTGCAACTTTAAGTACTCCGATTATGAGGTCCATATCATCAAATCAAACCCAAATCAAATCAAAACCTGTGAGCGAGAGAAGAACTTGAGGCGCGAACACTATTGAGAGCAGATGCAGAAGTGGGTAACCGGAATTGACTGAGGCTGAGGACGGGTAGCGAAGGGCAGAGTGGGTAAGGAAGACAATGCATTCAGGTTTCGGAATTAGGTTGCCGAAACTGCAGTAAGAACGGTTAACAACGACACCTAATATCACAGATGAGGGGTTTGCTCCGACTTCTATCTTGGCATTACGACCTCATATACAGAGCCATACGAACAGACAGACCATCGAAAAATAAGAATTCGGATCTACGATGTTCAGGCCAAGATCAGGGGAAGATGCGATCTAGAGAATGGAGATAGTACATGATTTTTGTCGAAGTGAATCTAAGAGGATATAAAGGAGTACATCACCGCCGGAGAACTTCGCCGGAGTATTGTTTTGCTTTCACACTCTGCCAGTCTCAGAGTGGGAGACAGAGGAAGAAGACCAGTGTTCTCTATTTTTCATTCGTTATTTCGCTCCTCTAAATAAACAATTGATTGCATTGACGAGTGAATTTTAAATGATTTAATAAAAAAAAATAGTAAAAAAAAAAAATGGATTCAGATTTCAAATATGGCAAGACGGAAGCCCCCTACTCCGTTACTTTGGTAGATGCGATTTGGGCCCGTTCATGGGCCATCAAATTTGAATTAAATTTAATGAGTTTAACTACTGCCACATCAGATCCTACATGGACCAATCAAAAATTGAGTTACCGGTGCCGCATTTTTAATAGCGGCACCATAGTATTGGCCCCAAGAGAGATGGAGGGGAAAGAATCCAAAAACTCATAGATGTACCAAAAAACTTTGGGGGGTCGTTTGGATTAGGAATTTTAATAATGAGGGATTTTGGTCCAAATCTCTCGTTTAAAATACTGAAGAATTTGTATGTGGGATTTGTTTGAAATAACTCGTTTGGAATGAAACACAGAATTTTTAACTAAAATGCCAAATTACTTTAGTGCCCATCTTCTTTTACATTCATCTTTTTCTTGGACTAATCATCGCAGGCTTCCTCCTCACTTCTTCTCGCCGGCTTCCTCCTCTAATCCATAAACATTCAACATCGCAACAATAGTCCAAACCCAAAACAAATCAAAACCCAATATCACTTAACCCTCATTCATACCAAAGTTCACAGACGTAGAGTTGATGAGTTGGGGCCTGGGAGTTCAACTCTCTAGCAACGAGACGAGTCGAAGGAGGAGAGAAGATGAAACCAAACAGTGAAAACCAAGAGCTGTCGCCCAAACCCATAAATCGCTCAGCAATCATCGTATTTATCCCAGACCCCTTTCTAATCGTTTAACCCAAATTCCCAAACCTATATTCGACTTCTCCTACCCCCAAATCGTAGAACCCAAATGCTAAATCAAGGAACCCGAATTCAGACCATTCTTCCCCTAATCCCAAAGTTCTAATTTCGGGAAAAGAACCTGATTTGGGAAGAATCGCGCCAAGGAAATGGAGCCAGGAAAGATGAGAAACAGAGGAGGCTAGGCGGTGGCGGTTTGTGTTTCTGGGTTTCAACCCTGGAATTCAAGATCAGTCTAGGGCGACAGGGAGTAGAGGCGGTGGAGAAGGAGTGATGGACGAAGAGCACACTGTGACGGAGAGTAGAGGGCGACGGAGAAGGATAGATCGACGGTCGCCATACTCATCACCTTCTTTGCTCCTCTGTTTTCTTCATCGCCGGAACCCAGAATAAGCCTTAATATTCTTGTTCATCGCTGGCCTTTATGGGGACGATGACTGGGGTTTTCAAACCTATAATCGACATCAGTTCCACACCATAAACCTAGATCTACGGCGACATAACGGAGTGGGAGAGGAGGGTGATTCGACCGGGTGATTGGAAGGGAGAAGTCGACGTTGAAGACGAGCTGCGGTGTAGGTGGAAGAAGAACGAAAGAGATAGTTGAGGGCAAGATTTGGAAATTATGAAATAGGAACGAGAGATTGTGAAATAGCTGATGGTTATCAGCTATTTCTAAAACCCACAAATGAGAGTTTTTAAAATCACTAATCATACAATTCTTCATCGTTTCCAAACGCCGAATTGTTTTAAAATCCTGCATAATGAGGAATTGTTTTAAAATCTCTCACAAATCACTCACTACAATCCTGCATCCAAACCACCCCTGGATAAATAAAAAGCCCAAGACTTGCTATATCAAATAAGCCCCAAAACTTTGGATAAAGCCACCCACACATGATACAATAGGGTAACCATTAGGGTGGCTATTTGGTCCGGAGTCTGGACTGTTTGGTTTTACCCGAAACCGGACTGTATAATTTGGACTGAGATCAGATAGCAAACAATCCCATCTCATATTCGGGTTTAGATTTGAGGTAAAAAAATCGTTTGGGACCGGATCGAAGACCGGATAAGAGACCCGAACACCCAAAACTTAACCAACTCCTCACCCTTTGAGGCCTCAGGCCACTCAAATCCCCACAAGCTCAATCTAAAATCAAGACCAAACTGGGACTGGGTCGGGTCAAAACTGGACCGGATCAAGACCGGACTGTAACCAATCCAATCTTTGGTCCTTATATTCCCGAAAAGATCGGAGCGGGACCGGATCAATTCGGGCCAATTTAACCAGACCGGACCGTATAGCCACCCCTACTACTACCCATATAGGGCACCTATTCAGTTTGGTCAAACCTAACAAAAAGCATATCGGGTCCTCGAATTGTGCTGGCTCAGAAATCAAATATAGTTTGGTTCGGTCTGGCCGAACCAAAATATAGGCCGGTTCAAATCAGAAAACCCTTGAAAATAATCAAATTCTCTTGCACATATGTGATTTCGTCGATCCATATTTTGGTTCTTGCCCAACCAAAATATAGGTCAGTCCAGATCGATAAAACAGAATTCTCATACACAAATGCGATTTCGTTGATCCATCTCTCTCCACTCTAGTCCAACCCTACCTCGTCGGCATCAATGGCTCGAAATTATCGCTCGGTCTCCCTCCAGCTCTCTCGTCCCTTCTACTTCGTTACTAGAATCTATATTGCTGTCATCCTCGCCACAATCTCCTACCTCTTCATCCGTCGGCATTACATTGTCATCCTCCTCGGCCGTCGCTGTCATCCTACTGCATCAAGACAACTTCCTTTGCATAGTCGCATGTGTCCTTCCCAGTTACCAGGCTCTAGTCTTTCCTCGGCAAGGGAGAGTCGGGGGCAGAGATTTGAGCAAATCGAGTTGGCTGGGGTTTATTTGTTCGGTTCTATATTCGAAATCAGGTTCGATAGATACGACCTAGTAAATCCAGCCACATGTTTAGGTAAGACAATGCATTTACCAGATATAAATTCCACGATCAAAAGATTTAAAAAAAAATTACAATTTGGATTGACTTTAGACTAGAGACATCAGTAGTAATGATAATTTAAACCCGTCCCATGGGTATTATTCGACCTGACCTGGAGCGGGTATTACCCGACTCGTAGTAGCATGAGATGGGACATGAGTGTCTACTTCCGATCTGTCCTACCCGGCCTTGTTCTTGGTCATTTTATCTCAATTTCTTACAGTATCTATATACATATTTCTCCTATTTTTACATTTTTCCCGACTAATTAGAGTCGATCTTTCAACTTGTTAGACTCAATTACTCATTCTATTATCACTATTTTTCATTCATGAAGTATTTTCCCCTTCATTTTATTATAAAAAGTAAAATTTACTTGTATTTTTTCCGAATAACATGTAAGAATGGGTCAACCCGCCCCGTCCTGTACCCACGCGGGTTTTAACCACCCCGACCCGCCCCGTTGCCATAACTAGACATCAAAAGCTTGCAATCCAAGAATTTCTTTTCTACAAAAGGTAACATTCAAAAAGCTGTAGCTGTTTAATACAATTTAGTTAGGAGTTATTACTCTTTTAATCCTGTGGTTGCTATTTCAACTTTCTGCATCGTCATCTTCAGCATCGCCTATAAGAGCACCCCTTACTCTTGTCCTGAGCACAAATATATAGCAAATATTGTTGATCTGATACAAGAAATTGTCTTGCTGAGTCCAAACCAGGGAGAATATAGCCAAAACTCAAGTAAGTACCTGCGATGTGCTGGAACGACGCGATTGATGGCTTTCTTTGGTGTTCCAGTCGCTCGAGCAGGTTGCTTATCTGTTGGAGGAATAAGAAGAATTATATTATTTCCCCCTCCTTATTAAGAATTTCCGAGTATTAAGCTTTACATTGTAGGTGTGCTCTTAGTTCACGGTAATGCGAAGCAAGGACTATTATCCATGGTGGAAGTGAACTTATTATCAATGGTTGCAACATTTTGGAGAATTCAAGGATCACTTCGAATATAGTTAGTTATACTGATTGTGACAGAAAGAAATCAACTTGGCACACAACCATCCAAAGATATCGTCCAAGCGAAGCACACATGCTAATGGTATAGAAGATGCACTTTTGTAGCCAATACTTCTCAATGGAGATGCTGGTTGTGCCACAACCATCACAACTAGCAGTAAAGACGGATACTTACCAGGAGAATTATGCGAGCCATTGCCAGAAACACCTTTGTTGAAAGCATCCATATTTCCCAGTTTCTGCCTCTTCTCCAATTGACTCTGGACTTGGTTGTTTTGCTGACAACGCAGAAAGGGAGACATGGGATCAAAGTAAATGCATTGCACAATGAGGGGCAGTCACCAAGCAAGAAGATGCTATCCGCAATTATTCGTTGACTAAAACTAGCTTCATAAAATACTTTAATGAACTGATTTCTGGCTTCATAAGATACTTTAATGAATCTGAGAAGAAATCAACATAATGTATGAAAAGCTGCAAACCCATACCTTATCTGCTTCCATCAACTGCGAAGAATACTCTACCCCTGAAAAACCAAAAAATAAATAAATTGAAACACCATCAAATCGAACGAAAAAATGCATCCTAACTTCCTGATGCTACCGATTTCGTAATCCTTCTATATCAAATAGACCTCACACTTACAGAATCAAATCTTCATTACTTGATGTAACTAGCAACTAGCCCCCAACATATACAACAAGTAGCAGAAAGAATCACAAAACAAGTCCGACCGAGAAGAAAAAACCAGTGATTCCCATAATTAACTCACCTTGTGCCACCATCTTTGGTGAACACTTGAGTGCCTTGAAGAGCCCAAAAGAGATAGCTGCCATGACATCATTTGCATCACCGTCCAAAACCCTCCTGAGAGAAATGGAGATCAAAGGCATTCCTTTTGTTTTCTGAGAAACCAATCTTGCAGATGCAGCACCTGAACCAAAAGAAGTTCAACCACATAACAGAAGCACACTTAGATCATCAGCTTGACTGAAACTTCTGAGTACTATTTAACCTAAAATTCGTTTCGCCTCATTCCACTTTGATGGGAAAAATAGAGGGGTTTCAGTTACCATCACCACCCGATTGCTTCTCCAGCACAAGCTTGATCTCTTCAGATTTAAGTGAAGATACAAAGTAGTCCACAAACTCAGACCACGAGCCACCAATTCCAATGCTATCTTGCTGCCAAAACAACCGGGGGGGAATATGACGAACACCGCCGACACGAAATCAATTCTCAAGCGCAGAAAAGAAAGGGAAAATCAAATTCCACAAGAGGCTTACCAAGTCTTCCAGCTGCGAAATGGACTTGTTCGCTTCAAAAGTGTTGGAGTTGTAATCGGTTGCTTGAATCTTAAGGTGATAGTAGTCTGGAGCAAACACATGCATCAAGAATCTCCGGAGGGGAGCGGAACGGCCGAGGTCGGAGCTCTTGCCCCATTCTGCTCTCGGTTCGCCGAAAATGGATTCGAACTCTTCAAACCCCATTTTCCCCCACTCCCTCCAATCTCTCAGCACTAACTAAATTTATTCAGTCCAGCATAAAATCACAGAGAGCTAGCGATTTCTGAACTAAGAAACCGCGATGGAGTTACTCGATTCAGTTTTCCCAGCAACCAAACGTCGCAAACAAGGGCTCGAGGATTTTGAGATGAACTTCACATGAACGGAATCATAAGAATCGCCGTGAAGCCTAGAATTTTGAGCTGAAGAAGGAGTAACGGAGAGTAGAAGCAGAATTACTCGAGAAGGCAAGTTCAGTGAAGCGGACGGGGAAGCTGGGGAGGTCCATTGATGTACGGACGAAGGAACCGCGAAAGAATGGAAAAGAGTTGCGGTGCTGTTTCTCCCGGGAGACGATCCCGATAGGTATGGATGATGGGCCGGCGACAAATTGGCAGTATTTTCCCGGTAAGCGATTTAGGTTGGGCTTTTTGGCTGGAGCAGGCTTCCACTAGAACTGGGCTCGTGGGCTGAAGGCAATATTTGCTTCTTTTTTTTTTTTTTTTGGTTCACGAAAGAGGAAAAAATAGTGTTTGTGAGAGAAAAAATTGAGAGAAATTGAAGGAAGTAGATCAAAAGAGTGATTTTTTCCTCATAATTTCACTATTCTTCAAATTTTCATTCCTCCCTTCAATTTACTCCCCGTTTTCATGAACAGAGACAGAGTGTTAAAAGAGAGGGGTCAATACTATGGTGCAACATTTAAAAGTATCATTGTGTCGCTTCATTTAATTGGTCAAGTAGGCAACGAGAAAAATTATGTGTTATTATATTGGTTATTAAAACTCAGCCCCAACTTAGGTTACATAATTCATGTGGGCAAGGTTGTTGCTCCCGCGTTAAAGTTTAGACCGCAAAATCATTGTTGGAAAATCGTAGTGTTGCCACAAGAGAACAATATTGATAATTTACTTTTTTTTCTTCTTGTATCTATTTGATTATTCGAACCTTATGATAACTCATTGAGTGTTTCTTTTTTTCTGGTATGGAAAATGCCGTGTTTGGATCCACGCTATGAAGGATATCCTCTTCCAGTACGAAAGCACTAAGCGCTCGATGTATCACGGTCTTCAAGTGATTTTTTTTTAGTGAGTCTTCAAGCCTGTTGGGTTACCAAATCTCGTACTCATTAGTATTCTTCATCCATATTAGATCCAGATCCTTGACATCATCGCGTTGTTCCTTACTTAAGTTACGACTTGAGTTATTTTCGACCCGTAGATAAAAAAAAGGGAAAAGGGTAGCTATTAAGATCAATAGAGATACACGTCGAGACTAGTGTCGAGAAGCATGTGGGATGGCAGATAGAAAGATCAAAATTTGATTCTGTCAAACTTCAAATAGCGTATCTCACGCGATACTATATTGTGTTGCAGTATAGTATAGTATCGTACGCAGCTGTTAGTGTAATTAGTAGTGTTGTTTTAACAAATCAGCGAATCAAAAGTGAGGTTCAGCCGACACATCCTCTTGGGGTTTGGAGCTTGGGTGTTGAGGAATCAGGAGACAGATACAACAGTACTAATCTTTCTCCTAACCAGAAAAGAAATATAAATAAATGGTGCCGGACGAAAACCAAGGTTCATTGGTTGTGCTGCAATGGCGATGAGAGAAGAGATATCACATGCATCTGCTGTGGTTGACGACAAAACTCTGTACTTCAAAAAAAAAAAAAACAGCACAGGAAGATTAAACAAAGAGCTGCGATAGCAATGAGAGCAATGAATCTCTCCTGCCATGCCATTTCCTCACTGCAATATATAAACACATAACATAAACAGTAGGCAGAAGAAGCTTTTACTGCATATGATGAGGGGCTGTTGCAGTAGTTTGCATTTGGTTCTCGTCTTCGTGTTGCTGTTGCACTTGAGGATGATGGTAGTTGCCAAGAATCAGAATGAAATCCTCCCTGTGCCTTCATCATCTGCCCTCCACAATGGCGTTGAGACTGCTAATGGGGTTTGCTATCCATTTTCTTCTCCTCTCTTTGATCTCTTCTTATCATACACCTTCCAAAAATGACTGTGGATTGGTTGGGGTGGATGCAGGGGAAGGCTGATTGTGGGAAGGAGGAAGAAATGTTTGCGGCAGAAGACGAGTGCCAAAGAAAGAGTTCAGAAGCAGAACATGACCGGAAGCGAGGGGGAGAAGACGAAGCAGAGGAGAGCTTCTTGGCTGATGAGGATTACATCTACACACAGTCCATGGCACACCCTTGAATCGAGCCTTCTGTGGTAATACGACGCAACTGGGCACTGTACATAGGCTCTCTGTAGTGTTCGTTCGTTGTTTTTTTTTTTCTTTCCAGAGTATCGAAAGTTTTCACTGCGGTTCGAGGCTCTTAAATTTTGTTCCTTCATGCCAACATCTCCCAGGAGATGCTTTTGCTTATGAGAATATGTAATGAGTTACTCAAAGACTGGTATGAAAAGAGTGACATGCCTTCGAGCCCTGCAGACGATTTTGATTTGCGTAGAGAAAATGCAGAGAGAATCATTTGCTTATGATTGTCATACTTAGTAGCACATCAGCAACAGTGCCCGGGAAGATGCTGTTTGCACAAACCAAGTTCTCTAGCTACAGAAGCAAAAACTGGACACTGTTGCTGCAAAATTCGACGAAATGAGGACTCATGGAATGATCATACATGGAACCAATCGCGAGCAAGTATGTCATAAACTGTAGCCGAGTCTCTTCTCCAAGCGGAGGGTACGTTACAACAATTACAGAATCAATTTTCAGTATTCCGTTTGATGGAGATATTACAGTGGGAGACACCACACACCTCTTACACAGCTGAGCATCTCATGATTCATAAGATGATAATTCCGACGTTGTAACTACATTCTACAACCTCGCCAAATATACAATATACTAAGAATAAGGTTATTATGAACATTCCGATTATTCCCCCCTCGCAACAGTCTCTATAGCCTAACCCTTCTACCAGAGGACTAGCCTCTTGAGGCTACAACAATGATCGACCCTAGCAAGATTTCGAAATATTTGACAGGACGATGATCGTCTGGCGCTGACCTGCTCCTCATCGTGGGAGGAAAGAAGAAAGAAGAGGAGTGTTGCTTCAGTACTGGGGGAGTGAGTAGACTTACACAGGGGGGAGTGTCCCGCAGATCAAGTCTTAAAAATGATAGGCAGCTCCACCCCTGCACTGAATCATCACGCTCAGAAATTGGCCATCCTTCCAACATTCGAACATCTGCAAAACATGGCGAGGGATAGGAAATGAAACAAATTCATATAGACGCAAAGGTCTCAACTATTTAAGCAGTTCCCTGCGGATTGTGAGTGGACCAATGCTAGCTTACCTACTTAAGCAGTGCCTGTTATTAATCTTTCTCGTTGGTCTAACTTCTTCACCTTTACAATTCCTACCAGAACTTTTAAGCTAAAAAAGGCACATACAGCATATGCCATCGTAGCTGGTACCTACAACACAAAAACCACCGTTGCATTAGCAGAAGAAGTAAGATGGACACAGTAGAAACAAGTGTACTTTAGTGGATTATCTTACTCTCATAGCATTGAGATACAAAATTGTTGCAAGGTTAACCAGACTTCCCGCAGCTACAGCCTGTTCAATAGCCAGAAGAAAAGATAGTGAGAGAACGTTGCAAAATAATCTAACGACACCAAAGCTGCAACAAAATATGTTTGCTCCAGTTAATCATTTCACAGCCATTCCCAATGAACAGTAATAGGATTGTCTCAATAACATTCAACTCCTATAACTGAAAGAACCAAATCAGAGTATATCATCGGGTAAAAGGACTCACACTTCCCACTGTAGTTTGAACAGCACCAACGCGCTGGAAAGCCCTCTCAGCCTCCAGTGTTCGAACTCGAAGCTTCAAATCACCTTGCTCCTGTAAAAATATCGCCCAGACAAAACTGTTTCAAACCAATGAAGCTAAAAACCAGAATCATTCATACAGAATCATTCATACAGAATCATTAGAGACTCCTACCAATCGTTGGAGAGTTTCCGCAAGCTTTTCAACTCTATCAGCCTGCCTAAACAAGTTGTAGAATGCACGGGACTGCCTATCCCATCTGTTTCTGAGGTCCTGCAAACATTCATACACGTGAATACTAGTAGGGTAATAAGTAATCACTCATATTTCTTATACAATATGTCCAACGAAAAATTGTGATATCCTTAAACAACATCCACAAAATCAACTAGCAGTCAGAGTGGGGGTGAGACAGAAGCAAATGTTTTTACCTTCACGACTACTTCAATCCCTGCTTCCCGGAACTTCAACAGCTCTAGTGCATACCTGGCAGGATTAACAACAACGCATGTGTCAAGCACCAAGATTTCTAGAAGCTAAAAATCAAAGTAGTTTAAGTGAGAAACTGACAAACAAACATGACTCACGGCTTGGCAATTTCTGTTATGTCGAAACGAGGGTCAAGGCCTTTTCCAATGCCATCCAATACTGTGAAGGAAATAAATTTACTTGTATGAGGCATTTGCTATGCATAAAATCATCTACTACTATGGACCGAGTTAATTAACCACAATATTATACCTGAAAATGCTCTTACAACAAAAGTGAAAGTGGCAGGGAATCGGAAAGGTTGATCTCCAGCAATGGATAATAAATCTTCCCCTGTTCAGAAATAATAGAAAGAGTCACCGAAGTGTTTTCTACTGAAACAAGGAGGAAAATAACAGCAACTTGCATGGCTCAATCACAACGCAAAAACTAGCAAGTGAAAAAAACTTACCTTTCAATTCACAATACACGCTAATTATAAAACATTCACAAAAGATTACACACTAGCGTACAGAGACAAACGCAAAAGCTTAACCAAAAATAATATAATTCATCTGACGGAGTGCAATGCACACTTACCTATTGCTGCCAAGCGCTCCTTCTTTTTCGCCAATTTTTCTTCCTTGGTTAAAGGCTTCTTAAACCCAAGCTCTGCTGCCGCCATTTCCCTCTCCCGTCTTTGTGCATCAAGACGTTCTTGGAAACTGCACACATTTAGTTAGAAGTTAGAACTGTATGGTTGCTATTATTTTGGAAAATAAAAAGCCAATTACTATTTGAAATATTTTTGGCACCAATTTAGTCGCTCTATAGACATTTTTCAGGATAATTAACACTGTCAGGAACCATTATGGACAACTACTGCCTCCTAACAACTAAACTTTGAGATGTCCAAAGGATCTATTACACAATCAATATGCTATATGCAGCTACAAATATATTACCCAAGCACCTTAATTGACAAAAAAATTGGAACATTGGTAGATAATCATTATATGACAGAGTCAACCAGAAGCCAGCTACATCCACTCATTAGGCACTCGTCCAATTAGCTGAACAATATTAGCAGAAATGAAGGATTTTTATCAACCGAGCGAACCCACCTTTTAAGGAAAAATTGTGCAGTTCTTCTGACAGCTGTCATATCTCCAGTAGGCACAAGGACACCCATTTGGACCATTGCATCAAGAATCTGCACTTGATCCGGAAGTGATAACAAAAGGTATGAGCATGTGTGATGTTGAAAGTTTGAACTCTATGCTATAATTGACGAGTCTTCATATCAATTAAGAAATACATACCTTTTCTGCATCCTTTTCATAAACTCCATAAAACACTTCCAGCAACCCTTCTCTGATGTTTGGACTGATACTATATTACGGCAATACCAAAAAGAAATTCATGTCTGATATGTCAAAAAGAGCGAAAAGCGAATCAAGTAGTATACTTACAGATATCAAGAAGAAGATTAATGCATAAATACCTTCCCATCATTCCGAAATCATAAAAGATCAATCTTCCACCATTGACATCATCCACAGCAATATTCCCTGGGTGCTGAGAAGATGACAAGAAAGATAAAGCTGTCATTGCTATAAGAAAGAGCTATCAATCTGAACTGGCCACAATTTCCCCATCCTCTCCAATGGAATTGACCATGGGCACATGACACAATTATAAGGCTTGAAACTGACACACCAGGCTAGAGATACCCTTCAAGCTGGCTTGTTGGAACAAATTTAAGAGATTAGAAACTATGTGAATGGACTCACAGGATCAGCGTGGAAAAATCCATGAGAAAGAATTTGTTCCAAGTAAGATTCAACAGCATACCTGCCCAACCTGCACAAAACATAAAAATAAACAGTGAGCATATTTCACCACAGAGCATGCTACAAAAAGCATGTCTCTAAAATTCATTATCCTGTCAAAATGACGAATCAAGTTTAAAAGGCTGAAATTATGAAAACCTTTGGCGATCAAGACCAAGCTTATCTAAAGCCTGTACTTTATTTATTTTAATCCCAGGGACGTACTCCATTGTCAGTACCTACACAGAGGAAACTAGAAAGTGAGTAGCCATAGAAAACTTCAAAGAGGAATTTTATGCATCAATCAAGAGAGGGAGGGGGTAAAGGGTGGCGGTGAATTTGTTCGTTGATCGTAGTTAGTGAAAGAAACCTGAGGTGTGGTGTATTCCCAATAAATATTTGGCACTTTTACGTAATCCATGTTCTTGAAATTACTAGCAAATAGCTCAGCATTTGCAGCTTCCTTGGTGTAATCAATCTCCTGAAATTGTTTAGTCCCAATAGCACTACTGTCAGTAATTTCAACTAGATAGTTGTTGGTGTAGACCAGCAAGCATGGAAATGAGAGCAAAAAAATCTCAGTTTATAAAAAGTACTAGTCGTTCTAGGGCTATCAACCATCGTGGTTGAACTAGAAAAATAGAACATTTATTGATGATTTAACACTGATTGGCCAACAAAGTCAAATGGAAGTACCTGATACAGGACGCTTGCACACTCATCGTAAATTGCAACCCAATCTCTCTTTGCTCCATCCGACTTTGGGTCAATCTTCTGAAGATATTCTGCTATTACCTGAAAAAGAAGGCCATCAAGTTCATTGATGTCTGATAATAACCTAAATAAAGTTCCACCACTGACAATACCGACCCTCAAATTCTTGAGATCAATATCGAAAAGATCCTTGAGACCAGGCCGTTGTACTTTAAGAACTACTTCCTGTCCTTTGAGTCTCGCACGGTGAACCTGACCTGAACACCCATTTATTAAATCAGAGAGGAAGTCGAGGGATGCCTTGGTTCCACTATTTTGGGGACAAAAATGTTTGGAAGGATTATATGAGATTACCAAGACTTGCTGCCGCTATTGGCTCATAATCAAACCGCTCAAAGATATCCTCCACAGGTGCTCCAAGCTCTTCTTCGACTATAGAAAGAGCAGTCTCAGATGGGAAAGGAGGAACTTGATCCTGCAGAAAGGCATCGACTCATTAGGAAAGATTATCATCCATGCAATTTCTTTAAGATTTTTAAGTCTCACCAAAGATATCCTCCACAGTTAATAGTTTATACTGAAAAGGTGTCAAAGAGGGTCAGAAAATTCTCACAAGTAAAAGGAGCATTCAGATAAAGAACACAAACAACAATCCACAGACCTGAAGTTCTGACAATTGGTCAACATATTCTTGAGCAAGAATGTCCACTCTTGTGGAGAACTGCTGGCCAATTTTGATGAATGTGGGGCCAAGTCTGAGTATAGTATCCTTTAGCCACTTAGCCAAAGCCTTCCTCCTCACCATTTTCTTCTCCTCCGTCATACCCCCTGCTCATCAGAAAGAAATCTCAAGCATGAGAAGATGAACAGCGAGAGACCATGCTACTAGATGTCTAGATCAATCAAACTCGAGCCATAACCAAAATCATAAAACATTGAACCAAGTCTATTGCCTTGTAGTATAGAATATGCATTATTCACTGTTTTTTTTTTTTTTTTCATTGGCGGCACGAAATCATGAAGAAGCTCGAATAACTCAGAAAGATAGTATAGAGTTCAGGAAAATAGAAATTGGGTAGGAGAAGCCTGACCTCTGTAAGAGAACTTCTGACTGTTCAACCAGGCCTTGAAGATGAAAGTAAAGACGGATCCCCAAATTTCCACAGTTCTTTGAATGGTGGAATAGGTTTTGAATCTATTCCATCTTCCCCCAGGCGCAACAGAAACCTGAAGAGGCAATTTCACTGTGATCATGAAGTGTACTATTTCTAGCAATTCATAAACGGCTCAATATGTGGTTTCCGCTAGCCCCTAATTCAGCATTCCCCGACCATACAAACTTGCTCAATCGCCATTACCAAGTGACAAACCAACTCAAACGAACCGAAAATTTTAACAAATATCTTACCTCAACAACCTCCCCCTGACCATCGCGCTTAAACCACGCATCTTCCTTCCCGACCTCCTCAATCCGCTTCTTCCTCCCATCCTCCGCCGTCTCCGCCGCGGAAGCACCGCCATTCCCATTAACGTACTTCATCAATCGACCGTTACTACTCCCACCACTCGCCTCGCTCTCCGCCATAACCAAACTTCCATTACTAAACGATCCGTTACTTCCGTACTTGCCTCCGCCACCACCACCACCAGCGCCATTTCCATTCAACTTCTTCAACAGCTCAATCTCCCTCTCCTCGATCACCGCGCTGGCACTCTCTTCCTTGACAGCTCGAACTCGAGTCCGTAGCCGGAGAGACCTGTAGCTGAGCTGAACATTCCGAAGAGAACGCGAATTGAGACCGCAACAGCGGCCGGAGAGTGAAACGCGGCGCTTGGAAACAGTACTCGGAGATAGGAACGAAGAAGAACAGGAAGCAGCAGCTGCAGTAGAAGTCGGAGTGGCCATCGTAATCCGCCTCCCGTCCCGCCGGGAAGCGATCAATTGGAGGAAACCCTAATTCTCATGGCTTGCGGAGAGCCACGCAGGATTTTCGCGGCAGAGTAAGAAGGAGAGGAGAAGAAGACAGACCAAGTGGAGACGGACAGAAGGAAGGAGAAAGGAGAAGCACAAAGAGTGAAGACTGAAGAGTGATGGAGAGCCATATTTTTTTATTATTATTATTAAAGGATCAGTGGAGGTGGTGAGGACACGTGGCAGGCGGGAAGATGAGCGCGCGGGGGATCCCGGGGCCTGTGATTGGCCACAAAAGATAACTCGCCCGTGTTGGAAGCATTTGGATTTTGGATCAAGGTTGTCAAACCAATTTAAGGGGTCGTTTGGTAAGCACGTAATGTAGAATTCATGTATATTGTAGGTTGAGTTGTGAGAACTTGTTTAATATTAGAATGCATTGTTTGGCTTGCATGAGTTCATGGTAGAACCCACATAATTTGGCATGAAATCTCAAATACTTTGGGTAAACCCAAAGCATTTGAGATATCATGGTCACATGAATTCTAGAATTACATGGTGCACCAAAATCATGATATCTGTCCAAAAATGAAACAAGAAAAACAGTGAAATCACAAATATCATGTAATCTTGAAATCTGTGGGTAGATTACATGCTTACCAAACGACCCCTAAGTTATTGAGCCGGTTAAACAACGAGTTTGAGGTATAATGGTCTTATTGGAGCAAATATATATACAAATAAGATAGTAATTAAAGATTCAATAAGATAATTAAATTTATCTTACATATATCTATTAAAAACTTTGTTATGGTACAATTCAAGTACTACATCGGTTGTACAAGAGAAGGAACCCTTATATATTAGAGTTCACCTAACCCAATTAGTACGAGGCCTTTTTAGGGAGGACACCCAAAAGGAAAACCGTGCAGGTTTGGTCCAAAGCGGACAATTTCGTACTAATGGGCTGCCCTATTCTAGAGGCCGTTTTGAAGCTTGACTCGGATCAGTCTAGATCTAACTGGGAATTCGATAGGGGTTTAGATTTGGACGCTTTTTGGCTGACGTGGTGCAAAAGGGAATCAATGATGGGGTTGTGGGGCGGGCGGTGGCCGTGGAACCAACCTGCGGTTCTCGAATCGGTGCGTGTTTTGTGGCTGGAGGTGAATGACGTCTGCAAGGAAAACAAATGGGCCTGATGTTTGCGGACGAACTTGGGCTATCTTTGAAAAGCTTGTCAGCGTAGCCCAATTGTTTCTTTTCCTTGTGGTAACCCGCAAATTAAATGGCTCATTGGCCCAAAACATCATTACAACACAAATCATCATCTGGCTTTAGGTCACACAATTCGTGGGCCTTGGGCCCACGCTCCCGCTTTGGAGCGCAAAATCACATTTTACAGGCAGTTCGTATAAAATTCACGTATTTTAATCTTTCAGAGCACGAATTATACTATAAAAAACGCGAACCTATTTCAGGGAGGAAATCCTTGAACTTCTGAAACCAGAACACGTGAACTCGAAAGCACAACAAAAGCATTGATATACAAAATTGGATCGTTCTTGTTCTTGTGTAAGACAAACAATTCAAATCTGTACCAAACTCTCGACGACAATTGTTCCTTCATTGGAGATAGATTCGATAGAGATCTGGAGGATAGATACGGAGAGACAAATGATTTATGTATGCTCTATTACTTTATAGAATGGAGAGCGATTAATAGTGGCTCAAGATCGCGCATGTGTTGAAGATTTGAACAAGTTGTTGAGGAGTTTCTCATTGCATGCGATTCACCAAAACAACAGATCTGAAGTCTTTTTAGTGATTGTGAAATTCGCCAAATCGGAGCCTCGTTGCTGGATAAAAACGACTGATTAGAGGAGGTTTGATATGTGGTCACTGATGTCGGGGATTTTTTGTGTTAGAGCTCGAAGCTTTGTGGATTGAGGGGAAGAAGCATATAGCACTATATGGGTAGATGAGTTGGGGAAGCTGATGATAAATAACTGGGCTTGCTCAGAAATTTGGTGGTGAAATTGGATTGCTGTGAATTTTACACTCTGTTTTTTTAGGATGGAAAGTGGGGGAAAGGAAAAGTGTAAGGGGAAGCACAGGAACCAAGATGTTTTCCCTTGTTTTTTAAGCTTTACAATAGTAACCAAGGAAAGAAAATATAGGGAAAGTGTGTTGTAGGAGGCTACCCTCCATTTCGGAGAGAAAGCTTGGTGGGAACTTGGGTTTCATTTTTATTCGGATCTTTTTCTTTTTTTTCTTTCTCAAAATTTTCTTTTGTTTTACCTTCCCAAATTTAGTGGCGTGATTTCTCCACAATTCTCTCAAGTGGCACTTTTTTTGGTAAGTGGTTTATGATGGGTGTTGGTGATGTTGTCAAAAATGGTTTATGATGGGTTTGTAAGATTAAGAATATGAATATATTAATTAGTGAGATAATTAGTTAGCCAATGAGTTTAATTAGTGAGATAAACGAGTTAATATGTTTTTGAGAAGCATAATTAGTAAATATTGCTTGTAATACACGTATATGTACCAGTACATATTTTATCTGTTTAAAACTTTCATATCCGTATTATTGTCAATCAATTTTATTTTTTTCCATTTATTTGATGGCTCCTGTACGTATTTTATCTGTTTAAAATTTTTATAACTAATTTTATATATTTATGACTATACTGTAATATTTAACGTAACATTAGGTTAAAGATGAAGTAAAATGCACGTACGTATTTTATGAGAAAATTTTATGGGAATTAAAATGAATGAGATGCTAAATCAATAAAAATTTATAATGAACCAAATTAGAAATAAAGAATAAATTTGATTCACTATTATTATTAATGAAAATAATATCAAGAAATAATTAAATTATTTACTATTACTTAACTAATAAAATAACATAATTAAATTTTCCGGTACAATCTCTAGTGAAAATATAAGTTGAATAATACCCTATCACTAATTTTTCCGGCCAATCTATGGTGCAGTTTAGAAAGAAAGTACAAATTAAATCACTATTCATAATTAGAATATTAACATATTATCAAATTATTTTACTATTGCATAATCAATAAAATAACATGTTCATCACACTTCCCAATACACACTTTCCTTCCCACTTTCCTCCATAAAACAACATTTTCCTCTCAATTTCCTTCACCTCCAAATCTCTCCTCACCTCCTAATTTTCCTTCACCTCTCCTTCTTTTCCTCCCTTCCTTCGGAAACATAGTGTAAGGGTTTTGATATGTACAGTTTACACAATAAATAAAAGCCAAATAAGAAAATTTGAAGCCTCATTTCAAATTTTCTGCATCTAGAGTGAAAGTAGGAAGGACATTTTGGTCTTCACAATTACGTTTTTTTTATTCATTAAAAAGACACTTACTAGGATTCGAACCATGACCACTTTAAAGAAAAGCAAAGATCATAACCAATCACACTAAGTACATTTGTTGTATCTTTTTAAATTAAAAACATATAATTGCGGAGAGGAAAAAACCATTCCCTCATTTCAAATTCCCTGCTCCATGAGCGTTTGTAAGAAGGGTAGAATAGGGAGTGTCAATTTTTTTCTTTTTCCTCTGTGAAACGGGGCAACTTACCGTACACATGCGGATTTAAACGGGTCCAGCCCCAGGAGTGTCAATTTTTTTCTTTCAGTCCTTCTATTTCTCCGTGGTGGTAAATTATATATGAAAAGGCAAAAACAATACTCCTTTTTATTTCTAAAAATAAAATAAAAATTAACAATAAACTAATGCATGGATTCTAATGGGCTAACCGCTAATCATAAAATAAAATAGTTGAATGAGCCTGACCTACACGAGATTTGCCCATCAAGTAAAACAAATGAACATCATGGGTTTGTCATTCTAAAACAATCTATTTTCTCTAGCATAATATATATTATGCTATTATTTTATATCTTAGTGGCTAAAATATAATGTATTTTAAAGTTATTCAATGGATCAACCTCGACCAACCCAATTAGTCCAATTTTTATCATTTCAAGTATATATTATACAATTATTTGATATCATAATGATTAAATTATAGTGTATATTATAGGGAATCGTTTGGTATTTGTTAGTAAAAAACTAAACAGAAAGATCTATTTGGTTATTTTTAACATTAAAACGATCCTAAACATTTTCAGTTTCCTTTCGAAATTCTATAGTTTTATTCCTGAATCAGTGATGTACAAATGGTGAATTGCAGTCATCTCTTATCTTTCATTATTTTTTATTTTCAAATAGAAAGTTTAAAAGTAAAGAATAATTAGAGTTTGGCATGGGTCTGTCAAACAGGGTGAATTTTAAGTTTTGGTCCGTTTTGATCAAGTCTAATTTATAATCACATGGTTCCCTGATACCCGATAAAAATCTCAATCCAAACCAGTTTGGCAGGTGAGTCCGTGTTTACCACCATTTTCTAGGGATACAGGTCAGGAACGGTGGTTTCTATCCCAAACCGTGTTGTTCATTCTTGATTTCTTTAGATTTTATTATGGCTTGGCAAAAAACCAGGAAACACAATGACGACAAGATGAAAGTTTTATAAAGCAAATCAATCGGCCAACGGGCCGAGTAAAAGCTAGCAACGATTGTGAGATGCTCATTTCCCGAAAATCGGCGGGATAGGCGATTTTTTATTCGATTTTCTGGAATTCGGTTTCTATAAAACTTACTCCACCTCATCATATTACCAGAAACAATATTGTTTCACAAGGTAACAGGTACTTGATTTTGGTTCATAAGGCTGATTTTTGATTCGTTGCATCATTCATGTCTCTTTCCTACTAAAATTCACTATTTTATCACGTGTTTCCAAAAAAAACTATGCAACAATAAGCTATACACCCCATTACATTATCAAATTTCATATCTCACCTTTCTCCGGCCAAATGATCCGGGCCCACGCTAGTCTAGATCTAGATAATAAATAAAAGCCGAATGATGAAAACTGTTGCTCCATTTCAAATTTCCTGCAACGAGAGTGATTATAGGAAGGACATTTTGGTCTTCACAATTGCTTATTTTCTTATTTATTTATTCATAAAAAAGGCATGAACTGGGATTTGAACCTTGGTCCATTTAAAGGCAAGCAAGGATCATAACCAATCACACTAAGTATATTTGTTGTATCTATTTAAATTCAAACACACA